AAGGGCTTGATTTGCTGTGCTTGGGATTTTTGTGTGTAGGGTGTTGGTGAGAAATGTGCAGAAGTTATTTTGTTACGGATGTCTTTGTAGTTGAACAGGAAAGTTTCTTGAAAGGGCAACTAGGCCAGTGCAATATTTTTTCCTTGTAGCAGTAAATATTTTCTTGTCTTCATCTTTGTCTGTGATTTGTCTTCTGTGATTAATAAAATAAAATTTATTGACAATAAAAAAAAATGCTCTTGTCTTTTGAAGGCTTTTCTGAAGGATCTCTCTGTCCTCATTTGTAACTCACGCAGTAAGGTACGCCCTCGGGTGTGCGGCAAAGCTAATACGCTTTCCAAGTGAACTCAAGGGCGTAGCTTGAGTGTGAGAACGTCAACACAATATCTCGAAACACAGTAAGGAAGGAACAGGGCCTCGCTAATAAATGTGATAAATGAGAAACGCGCTGGCAAGGCAACCGAGAACGCGCTATTATTATTTTTTTTTTAACTGGGAAAAACAATAGGTGAGTGTATTTGATGCACGAGGCGCGTAACAGCAGACGTCGCATATTCATCCGCGCGCATGTGCACAGTTGCAGGTAATATTTGACGTTTATAAAATGTTTACGAAGTAAACCAAGCTGTTGGTTTTGCAGAACGATCGGTAATGCTAAAAATTACCGAAAAGTCCTGGTTTTGCACGCGTTGTGGTGTCTTTTATTTGCCTAAAAACGTTTTAGTAAAGCGTACGCCAAAGATTGCGAGCCTGGGCGTGTGCCCATGCTCAAAGCGACAGCACGTGTGACGGGTCTCAGCTCTTGCTGCAAAAACGCAATATATTTTTGCAGTACATGCCGGTGTCCCAAAATACTCGAGACTACATTTGCATTCCTTTTTAATCGTCTGCGTTCAGCGTATTTAAAAAAAGAAAAAAAAATGTCTTCACACTTGAGCGATACCAACTTTGCTCGCGTTCCCGTGCTTTACAACTCCAATAAAGGTGCAGGAACGCTAGTTTCTTCACGTTAAGAAACAAAACTGTCTTCATGTGAAAAAAAATAAATAAATAAATAATACTATCTAGTTCGCCGTACGCAATAGCAAACAAGTACGGCCCGGCTTGTAGGCGCGCGACTACGCTGGCCTTGTGGGCCTGCGTAGTCGCGTGGCGCGGAAGGAGGGTAAGGAGGATTGCCCTCTAAAAAGAGGAAAACGCGGGTAGCCGCAGCTATCGCAGCGCAACCAGTCCTTGCGCCAGTCGGCGCAAGGACTGGTTGTTCCCAAAGTGGTCGCTGCGAGAGAAATAGCGGCGTTGCGATCGCATTTAGTTTGGTTCTCGAGTACGGATCGGAGCCAATTTTTCACAGCAGGCTCCTATGGCAGTTTCCCAACTGAGTATTCTAGAAACGTTGGTCTCGCTGGACGCGAGCGCTACAAGTTGCAAGGGTGAGTTTTCCAAGTGATTGTTTAGTAACGTTGGGTGTAACGGAAGAAGTGCATAAAAAGGAATTAAAAAAAATATATATATATAAAACACGAAAATGAACAACCTACATATAACGCGACTTTCCTTTAACCAGACGTTAAAACACGCCGAAGACACTTCAGACTGCTTAAGTGTAGGAATGCGAAAGGCATTATAGTCTGGTGTTGACATCACGCTCCCCCACTGCGCAGGCGCGGCGTCCCCGCCGGCTCCACGGCTTTCTTGGCGATGCATCTGCGTTGCTGTACTTTGTGTTTTTTTTTTTCTGAGGCGCGCCCGCTTTGGCCTGGAGCGGTGAATGCTTCATGACATATTTCTATGGCCATCTTCCGGAGACAGCGCCGACGCTTTTTGGTGTTATGTAACATATAAAACTATGGACATAAAAAAAAAAACGCGTCTTGCACTTGCCTCTTTATCACGTGACGACGCCTCTCGATAGTGGCAGCGAAGCCGACAGCTGAACTACGGTGATCTGTAGCTCACATCGAGTCGAAGCGGAGCCAGCGCTGCAATCCAACGGGGCCTATCAAGCAGCGCCAAAAGTGCACCGTCACGGCGCTCGTCGTCTTTGTGCGTTTGCTAATAACCGGTGAAACCGATCACGCTCTGTGAAAAACGCAGGATCACGCCGGATTTCGTGTGTGCGATTGGCTTGGCCGGTATAGGCCGAAGCGCCGTTTGCGAACCAGTCACGGTTGCACCTAGATATTATTTATTCTTTAAAAAGATAAACACTGCAAAATGAAACTCGGAACTTCGGAGTGGGGAATCCAACAAAAATAAACTCCGATAAACTATGAATTTTCGGCAAAATATTGAACTCCTAAAAACACGAATTTGACGAAAAAGAAACTCCGAAAACACGGAATCTTGGGTATATCATAAAAAGCAGGGGCGATAGCGGGCAACCTATATATATAAGCCCTCCCTTAATTGCTAGTGGTTCCGTTATTTCTGTCTCCCACGTTATAAGTTATAACCCCTAAAGCTCTAAAAATCAGGAAACCTATGCCTGTGAGCATTTCAGTTGAAGAATAATGGACCGGTTTAATTTTCGTGTCACCCCTTTAATTAATCGAATCTACTTTCTCACTAGGTTTAGCCTGCGTCGAGAAGCGATAGCTTGAAAAAAGACGAAATTTCGCGCAACGGCTGCCGTCATATCTAGAATAGTAATACTAATATATATATATATATATATATATATATATATATATATATATATATGGTGTTTTTTCTATTCTTGCACATTTGTTTAAAAAAACATGAAAGCCACACTAATGCGGTTTGCGCAGGTGGGTTATACGGCCAGGCGGACATTATGTGGGCTATGCGATACATTATGCGATAAGTCGGCTAATTAATAAAAAATGAAAGCCGTTTACAACTCCCTGTAACGCCGAATTAGAGCGCAGCTCTTGAGGAGGAGGAGGGAAGGGTACTGGGGGGGGGGGTCAAGTGACCTCGGGGGGCGGGGGGGTCACGTGACCTTGGGGGTCACGTGACCTTGTGGGAGTCACGTGACCTTGGGGCGTCACGTGACGTCGGGGGGTCACGTGACGATACCGATGACGTCATCAGTAGCGTCACTGATGACGCCATCAGTGATGATGATGACGATGCGGATGCCGGTGACGTCATCAGTGACGTCACTGATGACGTCATCAGCGATGATGACGATGACGATGCCGGTGACGTCATCAGTGACGTCACTGATGACGTCATCAGTGGCTATGACGTCAACGGGGGGTCACGTGACCTCGGGGGGTATCCCCAGGTCACGTGACCCCAGGGGGGGTCACTTGACCTGGGTAACATCGTGAACCTCGTGAGGGTAACCCTAGTAACCCTTGTGAGGGCAACTCTCGTGACCCTCGTGAGGGTAACTCTCATGACCCTCGTGAGGGTAACTCTCGTGACCCTCGTGAGGGTAACTCTCATAACCCTCGTGACCCGCGTGAGGGTAACCCTCGTGAAGGTTACCCTCACGAGGGTTACTAACCCTCGTAACCCTCGTGAGGGTTACGAGGGTAAGTAACCCTCGTGAGGGTAACTCTCATAACCCTCGTGAAGGTTACCCTCACGAGGGTTACTAACCCTCGTAACCCTCAAAAGGGTTACCTTCACGAGGGTTACTAACCCTCGTAACCCTCGTGAGGGTTACAAGGGTAAGTAACCCTCGTGAGGGTAACCCTTGTGAAGGTAACCCTTCTGAGGGTAAAAACCCTCGTAACCCTCGGGAGGGTTACGAGGGTAAGTAACCCTCGTGGCCCTCGTGATCCTCGTGAGGGTAACCCTCATGAGATTAACCCTCGTAACCCTCACGAGGGTTACGAGGGTTGCGGTTACGCCGACGGCGACGCCGCTCAAGCCGGGAACGGGCCCCTAAGAGCTGCGCTCTAAAATTTGTTAATTAACTTTTTAATTAGTGGAAATAGACACATAGATCTAATTAGAAACTTGCTGCGCATCCTCGAAAACTCTTATATCAACTATTTTTAGCAGGAAATAACGCCGGGGTAGCATTTTACGGCGTTCTCTAAAAACGCTTCATTTGGACGCGTTTCTAGATTTCGGTTTCTTATCGGAGCAAATCTTTGCGCCCGCGATCCTGCCCCCCGGTGGTCGCGGCGCGAAACCACACCGTCGCCTCCCTTGTAGACTGGAGTATAGTAGGGCGCACATGTGTTGCTCGTCTCAGCGACTGGGGAGCAGGACTGCGGGCGCGGTGATGCGCTCCGATATGAAACCGAAATCTAGAAACGCGTCCAAATGGAACGCTTTTACAGAACGCCTTAAAATGCTTCCCCGGCGTTATATCCTTCCGAAAATAGTTGATTTAGTGGTTTTCGATGATGCTCTACAAGTTTCTAATTGAAACCATGTGTTTATTTTCAGTACTTAAAAAGTTAACTAACGAATTTTAATTAGCTGACTTATCGCAAATATTAGCTACCCACATAATGTCCGCCTGGCCTCATAACCCACCTGCACAAACCACATTAGTGTAGCTTTCACGTTTTTTTAAACAAATGTGTAAGAATAAAAAAAACACGCTCTATATATATATATATATATATATATATATATATATAGGGTGTTTCAGAGAACGCAGGCCAAATCGCTCCTGCGAAAACTAGTCATCGCTACGAAAAAAGGCTTATGGCGTTTTGATCCTGGGCCATGGGTCCATTTAGGAAAATTATTAAAGTCCGGGATAATTAAGTTGTTAATTATTTTTGCGTAATTAACTTTTTTAATATTGTGTTTAAGGGCATGATTTAAATTAGAAAATTGCTCAGCATCACCGAAAAACACTAAATCAATAAATTGCAGAACGATAGAAGGCACGCGAAGCATTTTATAGCTTTCTGAAAAACCGCACAAAATCGACGGGTTTTTAAGTTTCGGTTTGCTATCGGAGCGCATCTCAGCCCCGGCGGCACCGCGCCCCGTGGAGAGATAGTGCAACCAGCCTCTGCTGCGTCGCGCGATGACAGCGCAGCATTTTAAGTCGAACTTAACGAAGATAGCGACAGGATGCCAATAAATAAATAATTATTAAGCAGAGACAAATGGAACGACCCATCTTTGCTGCTTGGATAGAGCTTCAAATACACCCGTCGTCTTTTCAAGCGTACAGCTTTATAGGCCCACACCACATGAAACTTTTTTTTATTGTTTTCTTAAATTACACCAAAAGCACTTCATACGAGAAAAAAAAATGGCTTTTTTCAGTAAATTTGTAGTTTTAGTTTCCTCTCGTATTTGATGTTGTTTTCCGTAAGCATATCTTCAACTGACAACAATAATATTGTACATGTTGAATAAGTATGTTTAACCTTTCATTTGATATAAAACTGCCATCATTCAAAACACGTAAATTATCTTTAGGGGGTTAGGTCCTGGCTTTTTTTAGAACAATTATAAAACAAAATTTTTGTGGTGGCTTGCTTTTGTATCTTAGTTTGTAAAACTACCTACGAAGTTTTCTTCTGAGAGGAATGTATTTAAGCCGGGCAAAACACGCCAATGTGCTACCTATGACAATTGTCCAAATTTCAAAATCGGTCCTGGGTCCTTTTGAAGCCAAAACCTCAAGAACAAAGAATTACTCAAGAAGGTAGTGCGAGGGAAAGGAAGGTGGGAGAGGAGGAAATGGACGCAACGCTTCCTCCTCTCCCACCATGCTTTCTCTCGCCCTACCTTCTTAACCTGCAACACAAGATTTGGCCCAGCGCGTAATGTCTTTCTGAAATTTACCGAATCGTGGGCCTTTTTTTGCACGATTTGAAACGAAATTGCCAATGCACTTTTTGTCTATTTGCTAGTGAAACCAGAGTATCGGGATGTAACGTCGTACATTCTGGGACTCCAGTGGGTTATTTCCACTGGTTATTTCCCTCCCCCGTAACTATACACGTGCAATTATTTATTTATTTATTTATTTTTTTTTGCAGGGGTTTACTGCTTTGAGCAAGTGGTTCCCGACAGGCGGTTTTCGAACGGACAAAAACCCGATTTTGAGCCACATATTTGTATATTTCTGTAAAACTCTCACCACGCACACTCTAGGGCAGTGGTTCGCAACCACTGATGATTCGCAAACCCCTTGTTGATCGGCGGAGATGATGGAGGACCCCGTTCGCGGTGAGGGAAAGGCATAGGTTAACTCTGATAATGATTTAATAAGTGAATATTACTAAGGGGTGGTGTGAAGTAAACTTCTCTCCCTAACACATACACGAGAAAACTCGCCCGAAAATCGGAACGCTTCTTCTCAATCGGATAAAAGACAACTTTTATTGCCGGGCTTGACTGACGAGGCAGGGCTTCGCGGACCCCCATTTGAGAACTACTGCTCTAGGGCATTTAATATTCCTTCATGATGTTGTGCCTCACCATCGGAACTAACAAAGCCCTTTCATAATTTTTTGTACTTTTTTTTTTTTTTTTAGAACGCATTTGTTTTGCGTAGTGACTAGACATCCGGTTTTGGCCGGGACAGTCCCGTTATTGGCGACGAGATTGTTTTGGTGGCGCCACCTCGGGCGGGCGCTCGCCTGTGATGAAGCGGGTAGGATGCGAGCAGACGACGCAGTTCGCATCTATGCCGATTAAAAACGGTTTATCGAAGAAACGTGTATGACGTTTTTGTGAGTGATCTCTCTAGCGAATAACAGCGCCTCAAAGTTGTTTTTTATACAAAAAAAAAAAAAAAAAAAAAAACTTTCAAATGTTCAATAACTAGCCTGGAGCAGCTTGCGCGGCGTGCGTCAAAGCTTTTCACAGCCCGTTTTCTTTGTTTTTTTTTTCGTATCTGTGGAGGCTTTTGTAGAAAAGGGTTTTGCATTCACCCGAGTAAATGACGGGCTGCCATCTTAGCTATGCACGCGCGCACAGTTCTGTTGCAAAGAGTTGCACACTTGTTTTAGCTCCATTGAGCTTGCCGATACCGACGCTTCTATGAAAGTGTGACTTGACAGTTGCTGATGAGCAAATACTCGTCAGCAACTGACGCTTATCTCCTCCCGCATCGAATAAGTGGCAAAGAAGTTTGTAACATAGCGACTTCTGCTCAGAAGCACAAATACTCATAACTTCTTAAATTGCCGGCCATGGCCCGGCCAATTCAGGCGATTAATTTGTTTCATCATTTTTTTACTAATTGTTTACACATTTAAACTCTCTCGCTGAGAAGCGTATCACGCATTATGCACAATTCTTTGAGTACGCAAAATTAAACACAAACGGTAGTAATTCATTGGGCGTATACCTAATTTTTTGAGACGCTGAAGTGCCACCGACTCTCGATCGCGAGGGGGCCTCACACGTTTCGCGTCGACCGGGTGAATAAGCAGGTATTTCGTTCAAAACAAATCCGGAAGCCAGCTACCGCTTCTTCCTGCCAGTTATTTTGAGGAAATGTTTGTTTAGTGGTTTTCAAAACGCAAAAAGGAATCAACTTTAGACCAGCACTACTGACGTAACACATTGGAACCAACAGGATACACGGAGTATCTTTCACAGAAGTGCTTACTAAACAGGAGAGGTTCTCGATTCGCTTTCCTATTTTCAATTTGATGAGGTATCCCTTTCAGTTTTAATTTATCCGTATCATATTAATAAAAAATATATGTTCGCCGTGGTAGATGTAGTGGGGTAAGGCGCTGGATATTCTATGTTCATTATCTAGCTTTTTGTACTGGGCAGAGAACAGCACACCACCAGCCCAGCGCTTCGACACCTCAGCGCCAAGTGTTTGTTAGTACGACTACGCGTTCTACGTTGTCAAGCTTTGGTAAAAGGTCCTACCACAAATATCACTTCACCAAATAAGCACAACGCAACGCGTGAAGCAGGCTTTGCCGCGCGTTACTCAAACCTCGCATGAAGCAAGCTGACGAACCTAGGGATCGAAGATCTGAGCGGTCTGCCCTACCCGTCCTACCCGCGACGTCACAAACGATGATGATGATGACAGCTAGAGAAGTCCCCCGTAGTTCGCGCACACCGCCCTGTCGTCCCGTCAATTTGTTTACATACCGCCAATGTCCCGTTATTCTGGAACTTGCGAAATCAGTACCAAGCGACTGAAGACAAGAAATGCTTACTCATGACAGTGTATTAGAATAAAATAGGATAAAAATGTTAGCTCCAGTAGAGTACGATTTTTAGCTCTTTCGTACTAAATTTGGCATACAAAGGTTCTGCAAAATGGGTAAAAAAGGTGCTTGTGCACTCAACAAAAAGTCCCAGAAAAGTGTACGTTTTCACGGTGAACCGAATAGCAGAGCTTTTTCTTATCTCGCTTCGCACCCCCCCCCCCCCCCTCCCCCTCCTTTTCTTCCATGTCTCGTTTTCCACTCTGACACGCAGGGTCCCTAGTCTTGCGTGATCATAGATCTATTTTCAGTTGCATATTTAGTACACAACGCTATCAAAACTGCTGGTGCAAGTACGTCTCTCGACTTGGCGCGATTCGGACGCGCACTCTTGTGCAAATAAGACACATTTTAATACAAGAGCCACACGCTCGCGCCAGTAGCTTTGACATCGTTGTAGGCTAAGTATGAAAGAGAGTACATAAAGTATAAAGCGCATGCAAGCGATATGGCGAGCGACAAGACAAGCGACGGCGACCCGCTGTCACTCGGCAGTGGCGCGACGAGGCAAACCGTATGAAAGCGATGGCGCCACTAGCTGTCGCCCGTTACTGACTCTCGCCGCGCTTGTCGCCGATGCTCGTCACGTCACTCACTAAATCACTTGATTGCGGTTCAGCCATAAGGTGCAACTGCATCTTGCTTGCGATGATCACTCTGCCCAATCCTCCAAACGTTTCCCATGCACCGGTTCAAAACAACTCAATACGAGAATAGTTTCAAAAGGTCACCTTGTAGTGGAAGAGAAAAGGAGAAGCGAGAAAAGATGGTGCAATTAAGTGTTGCACAGCAGAGAGCAAGAAGAATGCTTGTGACAGGCCTTCGCACATTGGATGAAAAGTTAAAATTTTATCTAATGGATGAGGAACAGACAGTTCCTTGCATCCTTTTCTGTCAGAGAGGAGGGGGGGGGGGGGGGGGGGTATTCAGAACAATTCTCTATAATACCAACGAAATACAAAGCAGCGACTTGATAACGCGAAGGTGCAAAATGGCCAAAATTAATTAGCACAAATCAAATTAGGGCACAAGCCAATGTTGTCCATGAACTATGATGCTCTTTTACTGAGCAGTGGATGAACTCGTTTGAACCTGTTATGTGGAATAGCGAGAGAACCAATATTTTAAAGATACACATAGACCCAAAATGAAGGGCTGCTCCGTCGAAGTCAAAATCTGTCTGCCCACAATAGTGTAAGGTCCACCTCATATTCAGCACTTAACAGGACTAAGAACTGAAAATGCATGGCAATTCTGGAAAACAATACATGACCATCCCATTTCTGCTGCATCACTGAACCATTTTGCTGATCCACATTAGGACTACCTTCCCACATTTCTAGCACATTTACGGAAAACCTTTATGTAACATGTACGACAAATCTTTAGGTACCAAGTTCCTGACAAACAATATCTGAAGAAAAATCTTCCTGGAATATAGGTGACTTTCACTGAACAAGGTACTGCACAAACACGGGATTTTAACAGCAGTGTGCATCTTCTCTTACAGCAAATTTCTTGTCTCCCATAGCTTTACAGCTCTCCAGTTTAACAAACGTCGACCATGCATCTACGAGCATCACAACTACATGGACCAAAAACACCTCAAGCACCGGCTGGAGCATCCAGAGTGGTGGTAGATTCCAGAGCACCGGTCAGACTATGTCACCACAACACATGAAGCAGTAGTGCCATTGGTTTGACATTGCAAATGCAACTTGGACAAACAAAATTGCGTACCAGAAAGGTTATTAATTGTCAGTATTAATGTTAACTACTTCTGCTCAGCTAAATTTCAATGCTATCTTGAAAATACCTAAGAATTGCACATTCTCAACAAAGTTCACACAAATTCAATATCAATACAAAACACCCTATAGACCAAAAAGCGGCCCCGATGTCAAGCAGCTGCAGTGGCGCTGTCGACGGCACTGCACTTGCACAGGCGATTCACTTCATGCGAATTCGGTTTCTGTGCAGGCGCTGTGCCCACACCTAGTGTGGGATAACGCGGGCTTGTTTATGAATAGCGTGTTGGTCTATAGTCGGTGACAGTTTAGGGGAAGCTCCTCTTACCTCTTTAGCAGAAAGAACGCTGGAGAAGAGGTCACCTTCTCCCCAGCATTTGGTCTATTAAAGTGGAAAGAGGTGGGAGGGGCCTCCCCTGAACTCTTAACCTGTCACTGGCCATAAGTGATGTGAAATGAAAGGTAGAAGTTCTGTTGACAAAAGCGCAAGTCCAGACTTTTTAGCTCCAACATTTTGAGGCCGTCACCGACCCAGGTACAATCTAGATGCAGAAGAAACAAGATACGAATAGAGAAAAGCAACAGCGAATGTTTAAATCGATTAATGTGAATCTAGTAGATTCACTGTCTTATGCACATTAAACTACCAGCATAAAAGTGAGAAGCACCAGGAAAAAAAGGAAAAAGGTAGTAAGACTACCCCTGTCAGACAGCCTGCTGGCACAAAACATTCTTCCATATCACAAACTTGTCATTTTGGAAGAACACATTTCAAGGTTAAAACATATGTCCATTTACAGTGCATATGAGCTGGGCTGCTTTACAAGCTTGTCTATCATGCTATGAAATCTTTTGTACACATGGGCAATGAAGAGTAATCTTATATCCTCATGGGTGAAAGGAAAACTCTTAACCAAAAAATAATACCGAGCCCGACGTCTCTAGGCCAGTTCGGCCCCTTGTTCACGGGCGACTCTTTTCGTTCTTGTCGTCGTCTTGCAAATTGCCCGGTGTTGTTGGCTTCTTTAAAGCAACCATTGTTTCTGCACGTGTGTTATGATTCGTAGCGGCTCGCGTGACGCACCGCAAACCAGACACGTAGGTGGTTGGAAGTGTCCCAGCTGACCGTTTGACGTTATTTTCGATGTTCTGAATGTACCAGGACTCTAATAAAAGGAGTCTTCGGCAGTTTCTTTCCGTGCCAAGAATAGAGCAGTAGTTTAATCCAATTGTGTGACCCTCTTTCTGGACGTGTTCTGCCAGCGCGCTACTCTGCACGTTATTCTTTTTGACGTCCTATTGAAGCTGGCATAGACGTTCCGTGAAGTTTTTATTTCCCCCAACGTAGGAGGTGGCGCAGTAACCACAGGGGATCCTGTAGACGAGTCCCTGAGCCTTTTCTTTAGGGGGTACAATTCTTTGGAAGAGAGAAGAGGCGTCCAATGGTGGACACCGGTTTATGTGTCACACCAACGCCGTCTTTTCGTAAAACGTTCACGAGTCTCGCTTGTGCCCTCGATGTATGGGACGCATACACAGTTGGGTGGAGGGGGGGCGTCTTCTGTTTCATAGCGTCTACGTTTTTTGTATGTGTCGTTCAAAAACCTAGGAGGTGACTGCGTTGCCTCCTTCGATGGGGAAACTAAAAACTTCCCGGAACGCCTACGCCAGCATCGGTAGGACGTCAAAAAGAATAACGTGCAGAGTAGCGCGCTGGCAGAACACGTCCAGAAAGAGGGTCACACGATTGGATTCAACAACTCTTCTATTCTTGGCACGGAAATAAACTGGCGAAGGCGCCTTTTATTAGAGTCCTGGTACATTCAGAACACCAAAATAATGTCAACCGGTAAGCTGGTACACTTTCAAGCGCTGATGTGTCCGGTTTGCGGTGCATCAGACGAGGCGCTACGAACCATAACACACCTGCAGAAACAACGGCCGCTTCAGAGAAGCCAACAACGCCGGGCAATTTGCAAGACAACAACAAGAACGAAAACAGTCACCTGTGAACAAGGGGTCGAACTGGCCTTGAAACATCAGGCTCCGTATTATTTTTTGGCTAGAGTTTTCCTTTTATTCATTGTCCTTCCTAACCAGGTGGATGTCCACCGAAAGGTTTATGTCCATCCTCATGGGCCATAAATTCTGGAAATATCAAACTGTACAGATGAACACTCACTTAAAATATCAAAAAGACACCAAATATGTCGTGTGAATTTTCACATGCCTCTCTTCCTGTACAAGATGAAATTTGGTTCAAGGCACAACAGACTGTAATAGTATGAATGTTGTCAGAAATCACACGTCGAGAACACAAACACATTTAACAAAACAAAGAACATAAGCAGTGCTTATGTCAGACTATGTCTAAATGATGTGGAAACAAATACACACAAACATTCAATGCGAACATGGTAATGAAAATTATGGATACACCAACTTTTCATTCTTGTCACTAAGTATCTGTCAGATGGCCTAGGTGAGCTTCTCTTGTTCAGCAGCTGCCAGTGGTCAGCCTTACTTGAAAGAGAAAACAACAAAAAACTGTCATTAGAAATGAAGTGAACACACACCAAGTCATGCCATCTTATTATTCCAATATCCTCCATTAAAACATTGCTTCGAGATTTATCCGGATGTCAACAAACTCTTTTATCTTCGATATGAAGCGCACATAATTTGAAGAAAACACTATAAAACCAACTAAATTATCTACATATGGAAAACCAAAAAATGTTTGACAAGGTTGGTTGACTCACACTCATAACATACAGCAAGACATGTTACAGCCAGTTGCACGGATAAACAAACCCCTCATAGACACCTACGGGAGCAACAGCACACCTGCCGCACTAAGATTAAACAAAACGGTGGCCTGTGCAGTAATTACAAAAGAAATGCCAACAAGGCTTCAGTCACCCATAACCTGAGTGTAACAGTTTCCCTTTTGTATTAAACGATTGGTTTCTTAAAGTTTCTTATTAGTTTCCAACAGCCCCCAGTATGAATCTGGAATTTTGGTGACCATTTGTTAAATCTCTGGACATGACTTGAATAAAGGTACTGGGTTCTCCCAAGTATGATGTAGCACAAGGCGACCCCAATAACCAGTGCTCCCTGAAAACACCCGCGTGGCCACATTCCCAGGAAGGGACATGCCCAAGGGCTGCTCCTTGGCCATCCCAGGCCACATTCAGCTAGCACTCACGTGTCAGTAGTGTGTCCGCTTGCTGTAGTAACTCTCCTCGGCAGCACACTCGTCATTTCTCGTACGGTTGCTGGGCGACGACTGCTGGCGTGGTGCGTATTCATTGTGTTCAGTGAGGGGCTCTTCCTTTTTGAGTGAGCCCGTGAAATACTCGGGCACCCGCTGGCCCGAGTAACTGGCCAATTTGGGGCTGCTACCAAGGTCCCGGATCGGAGTCGGCACATAGGTGTGAATGGGCGTGGGCACGTACGTGTGCACCGGAGGTGCCACATGGTGCACTTCCTGCCTCGCGTATGACCGCAATGCAGCATACTGGTTGTACTGTCTGTACTGGCCGTAGGGGGAATACTGTGGATACTGGTTGTATTGTGGAGGCTGGACACGGTACTGGTTCTGGTACTGGCTGTAGTACGGGTCTTGGTTCTGGTAGCGCTGCGGGTACTGGATGGGTTGTGGGTACTGGTTAGGCAGCCGGTACTGGTCGTTCTGGCCACACTGGCTTCTTTGAGCTTTCCGCGCGCGCACGTGTTCGTAGTGCCGGTTCATCATGTCGACGTACTTGTCGTCGATGGTAGCGCGGGGACGCCGTTCGAGCTTGAGCCTGCGGCCAAAGAGGCACGTGCCCTCCAAGAGTGCTAGCGAGTACGAGAGGGAGTCCGCATGGACAAACGTCACAAAGGCGAAGTTCTTGGACTGCCCATCACTGGTTTTCGGGATCTTGACCTCCTCGACGGGTCCGCCCTGGTGACAACGCAGAAGCAGGGTTCAATGCGCGGGCGCCTCAATGGAGGCGTTTGGCGAACCATTGGCGATTCAACTTACCTGGACGAAGAGCTCACGGAGAAGGTCCTCCGTTACTTTGGCGTCGAGCCCTCCGCACCACAGTGTGCGATTTCTCCAGTCGTCTTCCATGTTTCCGTTCTAAATCCTGCGAAAAGAGATCACCATGGGGCTCAGCTGAGGCAGATCAGGGAACGCAAGTTGTTTCCTTCGCGAGACAGCCCGCGCTTCGTTCCAAACCAGTCAGGTCGCGGTTGGCGTCCACTTGGAGCAAGTGCCACGGATCTGATTACTAAGAATAACATTAGCTCGTCAAAGGACTTGAAAAACACCCAGCTCAATGTAAAACACTCGCAAAATGCTAGCAAGTGAGCTTACCTACGGTAGAAGCGAACATGGAACACGCTTCAAATACGTGCGGCAGCAGACACACGGGTTAAAACAAAATTGAAATATCTTTATTTAAACGCGAATTCGGACAGAGTTTATTAATTTAAAATTGTTCCCTTATATTAAAAAAGCTTTTCTAAAGACTGTTTTCTGTCACGAAATTATATATATGCGAAGCTAACGCGATCAGTGACGTCATTGCTCGCTGTTTCAGTGTTTCTTGTATTCCAATGCTATGTAAAAACAAAAAAACAAAAAATGGGTTTGCGCATGACGTCATTGTTAGTGGAACGCAGACCCGCCCCAAGCGGAAAACATACTGAAGCTCGGCTCTAGCGGTGATGCTGGCGCAAGCTAGGCGGCGGCCGTCTGCGTCGTCTGCTCTGGCGACACGGGCTGTGCTGCGAAGTATGCGGTTGCAAAAAACTGTTTCGACTGACTTGAATTCACTTAAACGTTTTGCCTCACCAAAACCACAAATGCACTTTTTTTTTTTATTAAGACTGTTTGTTTCAAAGCCAAGTAGAGCGTTCCTTTGCGTTGCCATTTCCAGGAAAATTCACCAAATCCGGTTGAATCTACCAAATTTTGCGTCAAATTCCTTCTCCCGTTAAACCATCCATCTATACCTTTTTCTGTGTACTTTGATGCTTCCCCTTGACCTTTTCCACCAATCTTCTCGTCTAAAATTGGGTTTTGGGGATATTTATACAGCGTGTAGTTGATCTGCCATTATAGGTGCGACGAGTCACACGCTGTAGATGAGCAATTTAGCCAGTGCAGTACAACAGCTAGCCTGGGGTCTTTAACGTGCACCACGCAGTAGTGATACACGACCGCACGCCGGTACGATGCTCATCCAGATCGAAACGGGCAGGGATGGCTTCCCCTCGCACTCTGTACACATGATAAATATGAGCGAACAACGTTAGGAAACTGTTGAAGAAAACAGAAGACAGGAAAGACGCTGAATCAGTGTCTTTCTTGTCTTTTGTTGTTCGCTGATTTTAATCATGTGTATCCGGTACCAACTCGTAGCCCAGCTCACCACCCTTCCGCACCCTGTAGCCAGCGGAGTAGCGCTCTCTGATAAAAGCAATGTTTTTCTTTCTACTTAGTTCGACGTGAGAGCGTAGGTGAAGTTAAATAAAAACAGAAAGAATAAACATAGGGACGGACAGAAAGAGGTTAAGTACAAAACGAGCGTGTTGGTAACTGTAATTAGACATGAGGAAGATACATAGAAAGGGGGGACGGACAACGATGGACAGAAAGAGGTGCTGTTCTGTCCGTCCCTATGTTTATTCTTTCTGTTTTTATTTTTTATTTCTATCTTTCTTTTTTCTTTTTTTTTTTTCTTTCTCGTCTTTTGAGGTTGTGACGTTTAGAATATCGATGCCGACACAAATCTAAGAAAAATCATTTCAGTTTCAGTTTCAACCTACCGGTACAGACATCCCTATGGTCCAGACGAAACTGAAATGTGGCAACACTGACTCGAGTAAACTTTAAAGCCATTGTAAAACCCGAGACTTAGGCCATGTTTAGAGCCAATAGATAATCCTTGCATTCTTGCATATGGCCTCTTCCAGTCAAATCGTTGACGATTTTGAAAACTCTTTCCAGGTAAATATTCATCAATAAACCATAGTTACTCTAACGATTCCACGCCATCCAGCTGCGTTTCTGCGAACATTGAGCTGTCGTGTAGACATGGAAGTAAATTTGGTCACATATCTGGCAAACTGCATGCACCAGTTGTTTGTCCAGTGGCTTGAGTGATCCCCGAAGTTTCTGTCGTGTTACCCTCCCTGTATTTGCAGGCATGTCTCGCAGCTGTCACAAACCCAGATTATTTCTACGTACGAGATTCCGAGGAAGTCAAGACAGGTATGTTTTGTGTAGGGTTCCGGAAAAACTCCGAAAAGCACCCGCCGAAAAAAGTTTGGTCAATTCGGATTTGTCCGATAAACTCCGAATTTTAATGTGTCAATTGCCCCCCCCCCCCCCACACACACACACACGCACACACACACACACACACACACACACACACACACACACAAAAAAAAAAAAAAAAAAAAAAGACTCTAAATAAAGACGGTATTTTCCAATTAAGTTTGATCAGCGCACAGAGTCAATGCTTCCGGGAAAATGCCACCACGGTTATCTTTCAAATCTCGGATCATTGACAAAAGGGTTTTTACCGCTTACCTCGTCAAGGTTCAGGACGATATGTCATTGTACTTTCGGGTCACGACAAAAGCCTCTGTATTGGTTTCCAGTTTGGGCCATACTATTTGTGTTTTAGGAGGAAGGAGGAGGTTGTGTTTTTGTAGCAGTGAAAGCTATGGACCACAGTGATTGCATCAAATTGCCATCGCGCGCGGCCGCGGGGTAGCCTGGAATAGGATAGGATGAATACGTGCTTCCCAACGACTACCTCCAGAAGTTTATTTTTAAGGTATTGACATTTATCGAAGCCACTTGTGTGCAACTTTTGCCGTGGGACAAATTAGTATTGCCAATGGCGATGCCACTAACACCAAATCCAGCCGAAGAAATATTAATTGGTATAAGCGTGTTTTATTTTTCTTTATCTAGCATACATTTACACCCGGATATTATCTATTTTTCATAGGAAACACTGCGAAATTAAGCTCCGAATTTTGCAGATTTTGGAATCAAACAAAAATAAACTCCTATAAACTCAGAATTTTCGGAAAAAAAAATGGACTCCAAAAAACATCCTCCGAATTTGATGAAAAATAAACTTTGAAAACGCTGACTCCTAGTTATGTGGAGCGCAAGTTCGTCAGCTTCTTGCACAGGGGTTGTGATGATGTCAGAATGCCAAGCGCTTATTGGCTGTTTGAGAAAGAAAAAAAAAAAAATGGTGGGTAGACCTCAAGGCATTTAGCATTGAGGTCTATCTACTATCCTTTCAATCGGAGAGCTCGGCGTCGTTCCGACGTCACTGCAATTCCTGCGCAAGCAGATGACTTTGCTCTCCTCATTGCTTTTCCACTGCCCCTTATGAATGGGTAGCTCGTCCGTTTGTGTTTTGTCGTATAGGCTTTCGTAGCCGACACATGACCGGGCAAAAGTGATCTTAAAAGACGTATGGCGAATGTTTTCGTTAAAGCTGTCACTAATCACTGTAGTCTGTTGCAGGTTAAGAAAAGCACGACAATCACCTCCTGTAAAGCCTTTCACTCTTTGCACTTTGACAGAGCAAACGCCTTGCCTTCTCGCAGCGTTCACTCTGCTAAATTAAAAATAGTAGAAGGTTTTCGGGGAGCCTTGTCCTGCTCTGCTTAGCCTGCAACAGACTATAGCTTGCCTTATTTGCAGGAGTGGAACAAACAATACAGCGATTCCTCGACGTTGCGAAACAGATGGAGTGCTTCTTCCTGCAGAAACGGCTGGTGCTTTCTGCTCAGAAACCGGAGCAAATTGTCATGGAAGTGAGTGCATGTGATGTGCATTCATTCACACTCGTGTGTGCAGCAAAAGAATGACTGCATTTCTCTTTTGCACAGGACAACACGGAGCTTAAGAATGAGCTTGCACGAAAGGAGCAGCTACTACAGAAGTATCATGAGAAGATCCACTTCTGGCAGAGCTTGCTGAACGACACCAACAATGCTCCAGGCCCACCTCAACAGCAGCCGCAGATGCAGCAACAGCCACAGTTGCAGCAACAGCTACAGCAGCAACAGCCACTGCAACAACCGCCGCAGCCAGGCAATCCACAGGTCATGCAGCCAGGGGCTCCCATGCAGCAAGGCATGCCCATGAATGGAACTGTGCAGGGACTTCCCGGACCTCTGGCCTACCTGGAGAGAACCACTTCCAACATCGGGATGCCAGACTCGAGACGCTGACTGTCTGCACCCTGTCAGCCCGCTCTACTTGGTGGGCAGAAGAGCGCACAGCCATTGACAAATTTGGCAAGCATCTGTGGGACTTGTCAGTTTGTTTTCCTCGTGTATGTGGCACCGACGTAGGACGGTAGACATCCCCCTCGCCCTCAAAGCAAAACAATGCCACTTTCCGTGGCGTCGAACAGCCCAAAATACAACCGGGATGCTCGACATAGAGGGAGGGGTGGGTGAAACCAAGAGTGTAGCATCCAAGATTGAAGAGCAGATACTAAATATTGATATATTTGAATGATAGAACTATTATAAAGGAAAAAGAAATGGCATTGTTGCTAGTAGGCGAGCATCGATTTGTGCGAGATATTGTTGCATGGAATCTGTTTCTCTCTTGTCCCGTGCAGTCTTGAGGGCAGTTTTGAACTGGGCTTTTCCAAGGTTGCAGTTAGGGATGGCCACTGCATGCTGCCATAGAGTTCAATTATTGACATATTTACATGTGTGGCAATGCCATGCCATAGGGCTTGATTACAAAGGTAGTTTAGATTGCATTTATCTGGAATAGACCAATTGTTTTATCTTTTACTCGGCAGTATATAAATAACTCCAAACGATATTTCTTAAGAATTTATCATGGTTGCATTAGGTTTTAGTTAGTTAATTTGGCAGTGTCTTGAGCACCACATTTTTAGGTGCTCAAGCATGGCTAATCCATTGTGAAGATCGTTGAGCATTCTGCTGCCAATTTTGTCTAGCACTACCTTTTATGTAGTCATTGCACTTCGACAATGTGGTATGGTCCACATGCTTTAATTTGAACAGCAAATAGCTGAATAAAATGGCATTTTTCTAAAGTCTCGTCTGATTACCACATACAAAACTACCTACTAAGTTTTTTTTTTTTTTTCCCCCATGTGCCCAATTTGAGTGAACGCAAGTACTGATATGAAAGAAAACCTCCATAAGATGGGGCACCTTTTTATTTTTGTCCTGAATAGGCAAACAGAAGAAACAAGCAACATTTTCTGACAGACATAAGGAAAAAAATCCCATCATGCAAATCTCATGGCTATGCCCACTTCACAGGTTTCCTAAAATGCATCAATCTAAAAACAGATCTATGTGTGTGTGTGTGTGTCTGTGTGCATATACACAGAAATATAAATGGCATTATGTATATATGTACAGCAGAACAAAAATGACTTGCCACCTTAGCTTGTTTAAAAGGGGAAGGTAAACCAATAATAATAAAAAAAAAAAAAGGCTCCAGCACATAAATTATGCCAGCAAGCTTCAACTGTGTACATGCCTTCAAAATGATTATCGGATGTGATTAAAGAGGTTTGCAGTGCATGAGCTCACACCCTCTGCACCAGTATAGAGCACCCCACACACTTCACTAGACAACATTCTCTTCGTGGACTTGCTGGATGCGGTATAGACTACCTGCATGAGAAATTAAATAAAAAGGGGCTAAGACCTTTAAAAAAAAAAAGATCACGGCTAGGTTGGGCAACACTGGCCCAACAAAGCTCCCTTCCTTGACCCACACTGCTGGGCCCAGTCACGAAATCACACTCCCTCCTTTAGACTGCGGCAAAAGAACTTGCACGGCACCACAACACGACCTGCCTTATCCAAGGCCCTTGCAAAGGAATGCTCTTTCCAACTCAAAAGAGTTTGACAGTACTTCCTTTATGTGAGAACAAGCGAGTGAAGTGGCAGCAACGCGCCATAGTTGGGAAAACCCCCCGAGCAAAGTGCACACACAAGGGCAGACTTGAGTTTTTTTGGTGGCGCCACTGTGGATGCGCCGTGGCAGCCCACTAACTGGGACTAGGGCCTTCGGAAGGGGCTACTGCCACTTGCACCACGAAGCCCATTTGTAGCTTGGCCTCATCGACGCGCGTGCGGTCGGCCAACAGTTTGCCGCCGAAGAACCAGCGCTGGCAGGTGGGGTCGACGCCTTCGAGCGTCTGGAGACGTCGCTTAGCCGTGAGGATGGTCTCGCCCGTGCGCACTGCCATCTTGGTGTCCCGCCCCGTTGTGGACAAGCGCAACTTGAGCAGGATCTCGTGACCTGCGCAAGGCTCGCTTTCGGGCGACGGAGATTCGGCGTCACTGGCGTCCTCCACCAGGTTGGTCGGCGCACTCAGGCAGTACACGGGCAGCTGGTAGCGGTTGCCGAGTTCGTCGTAGCAGTCCAACAGCGTCCCTAGAAAGGGAGCAGAATGGATGAAATTAGGCGACACCTCAATGCCCTTGAAGTTTCAAGGCATGCTACGCACGAAGGCAACTTCCTGTGGAAATGCAGTCAAAGGTATGGGCAAATACCTTATTATAAGAACCCGTTCTACTCTACTCATTTGCATTAGACAGCACGCCTACAGCACCAAATCCTCCCGTAGCGGCGCGAGCACTCCGAAGCAAGTGCACAGCGCTGTCCAAGCTGTCGTGCTTTTCCTGTGCATGAAAGGAGAGGGCTGCCACCAGCTCACCAAGACCGGATACGCCAAGACAGCAGAGATGGCTGTCTCCGCTGTCTAGACAGGTTTCCATGACGATAGATGGTGGCAGCCACCCCTCCCAATTTGAAGGAAAAAACACAGAGGCTGCACCCATTTAGAAATTCCAACTACGCAGCCTGTTGGCACCAAGGCCATTGGATTTTCGTGTAGTAAGATGTATACCCTCGTAGAGTATTCAATGTGTGAAGACCTTGCCCATCTTGAGCACCAATTAAAGCTCTTGCATGCCCTCCTCTTTCCTTCGGAAATGCTGCAGGAAGTTGTCCTCAAGTATCGTTAAAATTTGTTAGAACACCACAAGTGGGTTGAAGGTGTTCTACAGTAAAATGCAGAGCAAGTGCCCACACAAAAGTTCAAAGAGATAATCGCACAGAAAAAGAATAAGGATGGACACCCTTTAGGTCAAAGAGCACAAAAGCACTTGGTAGGAAAGGCCCTCCATTGATCCGACAGAAAGCCATAGGAGCAGTATAGGAATCTGGCAGAAGCCAAATTTTTCAAGCCGCTGTACTGCTGTTGTCAAGCCTGCTTGGTGCTAATATGGTTCCTGGAATGCATCTCTAACTGGTGTGTTTGTAGCATCCGGACCATGTGGTCTCTCAATTTTCGCCCGACGTCATCCTAAAAATAGCGTATTGTTGCCGGCCGCAATCCTGGTGGTGTTACAGTAGTGATGGCAACTCCTGTCCTGCTGCAGGTCCGTTTCCAGCTTGACAATCCACGGCAGATTCAACAGCCAGGAAAAGAAACTTTGCGATGACAGTGACATTCGCTTTTGCTCATACTTTTTATCGGTGGCGGACTTTTGACACTAACTGTTATACTCCGTCTCACCTTACGATAGACTAGGGCCCAAAGGCTGGCGGGCGGAGCACTACTTCAGAAAAGCTTGCATCCGCATTGCAAAAGAGTGCGCAAGAGAAATTCCGATATGCAGAGTACGGAGAGCACTAACCTTACGCATATGGTTCGCTGTTGTAATAGCGCGCTACGTTATATTGGTGAAGTAAAGGAACATGGTATTCAGTCTCATAAACATTCATGAAATATTTCGTAATCATGTCAACTGTTTGGAGAAGTTGGAGGGTACACAGGCAACACTGACAGAAAGTGATTTCACCTTGGCCATAACAATCCAATTCAATTTTTGTGTACGTACCCAGACCTGTATCTCCCTTCCGCACGTGGTCCGTACATATGCTCCCGTGTCGAACACTCAATCCAACTCATCTTCATTTCTTAATGGCCATTGGTTCTGATCTCATGTTCTCTTCGCCACATCGCTTCCAGGTGGTATTTAATCCCTCCATTAGTCTTCAGTAGTAGCGAGCAGACGGAGCTGTTGTGAGAGCTCGATAAGCAGACGAAAAACTCACTTCTGCATGACGCGTCTTGATACGTACGGCGGAGCAAATATACAACGTGGTTTGTAACAGACTCATCATTGGACCTGGCAGCCTTGTAGCATTGGGCTTTAGTGCATTGTAGGACGACATGGCGTATAGGAGAGCGACATCTGACAACATGACACGCCGGCTTCTGTGACGTCATTTGTTGCCAATTTGGGACCACTTTTGATGTATGGATGAGATAGGACGCTAAACACACCAGTCGAACACGCATTCCAGGCCCCATAGCACAGTGCACATCAAGCTTTATCGCTTTGCGTTGACGCACGTGCATACAACTTCACCACTTTGCACCAGCTTCTTGGAGAAGCATGCAGAGGAGCACCTCGGTCAGCTCGGCGGGCTCAAAAGAATGCTGGGGTGGGCGCTTGATATGTCATACGCCTATATTTCAAATGTTTCAAAAGTAGGTGGTGGGTGCTTGTTGTGGCATGGGCACATGCTTGATATGTTATGGTAAATCTCACTTCACACTGCCTGGATATTTGTCAAGACTTAAAAACTGGATGCATTACATTGTAAACTGACAGAAAATACATGGTGTCAATACAGCTGACTACATCAAGGTAGCAATCAGCAGAGAGGAGGCTCCTAAAAGCTCTCCCCTCTTTCTAGCACTTGCACTACTATTCTCATGTGTGAAAAACACAGAGAAAATAGGAGTGTGTATCAGAATAACTCTACAACAGAAAAGATTGAATAGGTAAATCCATTTACCATACACAAATTCTATTACTATCACAGATTTTCGCTCTCCTTCCACCAGTATATACGGTCCTCCTATGGTATCATACATTCTCTCATGTTCTGTAGCCAATTGTTAACACTTGACCTCAAGCACTTCTTTTTAGTTTTGGGTGCTTAGGGCCACATTTTCTGCTTTCCACAAACTGAAGCAACCCATAGATATTGGGGAGTTCCAATACTAAATACCTTCTCGATATTCTTAAAATGACTGCCAAACATAGTTTGCAGATGATCTTAATGTATCACCTATGTAAAGTCCTAATGCAAGATCCTGAAATATTTTAGGCATTGTATGTCTGTTCCTTGTAATTGTTTTTTATTCGTTTGTGCCATTGAGATTCTTTCGGTTCTCTTTTTTTAACAAAAAGTGAATACTTATAAAATCTGCACAACCTGCTGTTTATCTGTCATCCCTTACAAGCACAGTTGTGGATGTTCCATATAAATGACCATGCTTCGATAAAGAAATTTGTTATTCTAAATAATGTGTTGTCCAAGTACCTCTAAATAAAATTAACAGCAATATACCAGAAAGAAAGTTATAGGAAGTTCAAGAGAATAGCAAAAAGCCATATGTACTGCTGCTTGGCAAATGCAACTATGTAACAAGGAAAGAAAAAAGAAGCAGGCACTAATTTAAGTTTTTTACAAAGTAATATGTGCACTGTTTGATGCAGGAAGTGTAAACACGTCTGAACTGTTTTTATTTAACTTATACAGCTTGGTATAGAAAACCAAATTCTATGGCCTAAGTTGGCACCCTGTTTAAAGGGGAACTCCACCAATTTTTCAAGCTACTTAATTCAAAGGAATCATCTCAATATAAATGGCTTCCTGAATCTGAAATGCTATCTCATTCCCCCAAATTCACTCTAGTTAATTAAAAAAGTGATGTTTCATTCAATGCTGAAACCTAGACATCGTTCTCCTCAGTTTTTCCAGTTTTCCCCGCCATCCAAACGTGACGTTTGGATGGCAGGTGTGTGGCCGGCAATCGGGTACACTGTCGCCTGCCTTTCTTGCGTCCAACAGCAAAAAAACAGAGGCGTTCATGCTATCTAAAGTTGATAATAATCTCTAGTGGCACAAAGTATGGCCTTGGCCCACGTGCTGAACTATGAGAAAGTAAAAAAACAGAAGCAATTGGGATTTTGAGAAAACCGTTTTTGCAACTCGGTATGCTCAAGCCGCGGCTCGCTAGTTTTGTGAAATCACTAGCAAATCCGTTCTCCTTCTATCAGAATCTGGTAATTACGCTGGAGAAGAAAGGTCGGAAGAGTCGCGCAAAACATTTTTTTGACAAGTTACCCAAGCACCACGGAGAATGCTCGGAACGTGTGTACAAATGCCCGACACGCTCGTCTTACCTAAAAAACGTGCCATTTCTTTTAGATTTTTTTTTTTAGGAAAGTTACTATTGCAGATGCCAGCAGCATGTGCAACTTCTCTTGTAGCATGCACATGCCCCTCGGTGCTCAAGTAATTTAGCAAAATATCTATAGACCATTCCAGAAAAGCACTTCAGGCCAGTGCCATCCGTTTTCACTGTACGTGCGTGTGATGCATACTTTGCTCGCCCTCCAGAGCAGCGGACATGTGCGTGCTGGGCTTTGACCTAACACATGGGCTGTGTTTCAAATCTTACCCATATGGATCCCAGTTACTCCGGCGGGTCGTGTCTTGTGACAACACACGATAGAAAAATGCTTGATGCGGGTGGGTTTCCAAAAGGTGCAAAACCCGTACCCTGGAGCAAGAACGAGTAAATTTTGGAACACAGCCATGTAACTGTGATTCTCGTAAACACTGAAATGTATAGACAATGGCAAGTAAGGTGACTGGCCGCCACCATGTCTTGACTCGTGCGGATAAGCCTGTGCAATTGCAAGCTTGCTAAAGCTATGTTCACGGGCAAGCTGCATGTGTTGCACGCATGGGGCACCAGTCAGGGCGCCATGCTTGCAATTGTCTATAGAATTAAACGAACGGCACTCGTGTAGATGGCAGGTTATTGTTCGTCAAGATTGTGCTAAAATGAAAATTAAAAGAACTCCGCAACCACCAAGCCAAACATCAAGGTGCAATGAAAGGCATATAAAATAAACAAGTACACTAGTCATCTTCAGATAAAGAATATTTGCTTAAAGATACAGTAGTGCTTAAAGGACAAAACTGAACCATAAAAATTTTTAATTAAAAATAAGTTAACAAAAGTTAGCAAAAAAAAATTTTGCACTCTTTTTTTTTTTTTTTTTACTGTTGGAGTAGAATGTAATGTGCAGTGCTCAAACACTGATTCACAAGTGCACATGGGAAGGCGGTTTCTATATAATAATCTTTTTTTTTTAAATTCAGTTTTGGTTTTGCACAGCTTCCATCAGCTGTAAATTTACATGCCTATCCTAAAGACAGACACATGGCCAGGGGGGCGGCCCATGGGGCCCGGCCCCCCCCCCCCCCCCCCCCCCCCCCCCCCGAAATCTTCCATTTTGCTGAAACCTCCTCTCCCCCTCCCCCTCATACAGCATTTT